GCACAGCCACTTGTGCTGGCATGTGAGCCGCAGGCAAACTTACCTCACTGCGCATGCGTGCACCTCACAGCTGATTTTCTTTTTTAGTTGGTTGGAGGCCTTTTTCGGCCTCCCAGAGGCTTGGATAAATCCCCTGTAAGGCTTTTCCGGCTGAATTATAGGCCCGTTTCGTTACTTCCTGCAATACCAGAAGTGACAAAGCAAACCTATAATTCGTCCTGAAAAGCCTTGCAGAGGCTTTTTCCAAGCCTCTGGGAGGCCGCAAAATGCCTCAAACCAACCGAAAAATCAGCTGTGAGGCGCAGTTCAGGTAAGGGAGTGGCGGGAGGAGGGGGATTGCATGCACATTCACAGGGTGGGGGGTGCGCGTTGCATTCTGGGTGCTGGCGAGCACGCGCACGCTAGTGTGCATGCAATTTTTGGCACAGGAGCCCAAAAAGGTTAGCCACCACTGCCCTAGGTTCATGATGGCGAACCTAAGGCACGCATGCCACAAGTAGCATGCAAGAATCATTTCTGCCGGCACGGGAGCCATCGTTCAGAACAGATCCACTGTGCATGCGCGTGCGCCTCCTGCCAGCCAGCTGATTGTCAGATATCTGTCATGCATGCGCGGGGGCGGGACACGCATGGGAGATGTGTGCGCATGCACAGAGGCACTGGCGCATGGGCGGGTCATGCACAAGTGCACACAGGCACGTGGCGTAGGGTGTCGCATGCGCATGTGCAGAGATGCATGGGTGTGTATGCTTGTCCAGCCAGTGTATGGGAATTGGATAGTTAGTTAGCAATTGTGAGCTGTCTCCTTAAGGGAATGCATCATGGTAAATGTAGTTAAGGTATCCTGGGAAAATGTAATCCATGTCACGTGACCACATCTGTAATCCTGATTGGTCACTAAATTGATTCTTGATGGGTTGGGGGAGGTTTCTTCACTCTTGCCTGAACTCACGGACTTGTAACTACCACTACGAGATGGGAGGAAAGGGATAAGGAGATAACCATCTTTTTACCTACAAGACAGATATGCAAAGGATTAGACATTAAGAAGAACTTCGTCACAAATTTAAGTTATGAGGATACCTGATGAACCAATAATAAAGACTTTGTATGAATGTTTTGTTGAGTTTATCTATCAGCATCTGTACAGAAGATAAAATCTACCACTGTACAGAATACAGAACAGTACACGACAACGAAAAGGTTAGCCATCACTGCCCTAGGGGATAATTTATGTGTTTAATCGTGTAAAAAAAGCAATGTTCAGGCAGGGATTCAATTAGACCAAGAGAACCATATGGGCCCGTATTTCCTTTTCCTTTTTATTATCAACAACCAGTTAATGGTACACTTTTGTAAAACTATATGCACATGTAGAAATATTTCCCCTTTTAAATAGAAGCATTCATTTTTAACCACATATAAATAAACCGGAGTTCCTGAAACATAATTTATGACAGCTAAATGCTCACAAAGAGATCTGGGAAAGAAAAAAAAGAGAGAAATTAAAAGCCAATTCAAATCCAAAATGCAAAAAAAAAAAAAAAGATAACTGATAAAAACCTCATATTTTTCCATAATGACACGCCATTTAAGACTACAAGGAAAGGGAAAAAACCTTATTTATACGTCTAATTCGAGTAGACAAGTTTGTATCGATATTAACACTATACAACTGAGTCACAGAACACCGTGGTAGAAAGACACTGAAAGGATGTTGGAAAGCATACTGGTGGACAAAACGAATCTCTAGGGTTTTGTGCCTTTGAAAAGAAAAGAGTTTTAAAAACCTTCCAGGGTTGGGGTGGGGTAGGGTGGGCTTAAAAATGGCATGGACGATGTCATCGCCGTCTTGAGAACGGAGGCCAACCCATTCCCCGGGAAAGGAACGCGCTGCGCTGAGACCATTTGGGACAGAGAGTTGGGGTGCCTTGTGTAAACAGCTCCCTGCCTATTAGAAATACGCTGTTTGGGTCGGCTGCCAGAAACGGCCATAGGAAGAGGAGACAATTTAAAAATAAAATAAAATGAAATGAAAATTAAAAAAAACCCACCACCACCAAGCTAATCAATCAAAGCAATACCGTGTTTCCCCGAAAATAAGACCATGTCATTTATATATAACTGACTAACCTCACTTGTGTATGTCGGCCCCAGTCTCCTTTTCACTGTCAGAGGCCTTCAGGAACTTCTTCTATGGCCGACAAAGCTTTCCTGAAGGCCTCTGCAGCCGATAAGAGAACTCAGGATCGATCCAGAGCTTTGTTATCAGCTCCATAGGTCTTCAGGAAAGCCTTGCCAGCCTTGCCGGCTGCAAAAGAAATGGGCCGGCCAGGCAGGTGTCGGGGTGTGCGAGGCCTGGCTACAACTGTCCAAAGGTAAGTAGTAGGGCAGCTCCACCACCCGCATTCCCACCCTAGCTTAATTTTTACCCGTCCACTCTGGAGTGGGGTGGGATCTTAATTAGGGCTTATTTTGGGGGCAAGTATAGAAATCAAGCTAGGACTTACTTTCAGGGTAGGTCGTATTTTCGGGGAAATGGTAATAACAGGCTTTTCTTCTGCTTAATGGTCAGGACCAATTCACTTTGGGGGGTCTTTCAGGGATTCGGAAAGTTTCAAAAGATGCTCTGTGGTGGCAATTTTTCTATGCGGTGTGCTTCAATGGCTGAATGTGGACTCTTTGGCACCACGCAAATGCGCAGGTCATGGAAAAGTCCCACCCTGGTGGCCTTGTTTCTTCAGTGCTTAGGCCCCCCCTCTAAAGTAAGACTCTCCAAGCTCGGCCACTTTAAGACCTGTGGACTTCGACTCCCAGAATTCCTGGCCGGCAGAGGAATTCTGGGAGTTGACGTCCACAGGTCTTAAAGTGGCCAAGTTTGGAGACTCCTATCATCAATCTGTGGACTTCAACTCCCAGAATTCTTCAGCCACCATGGCTGCCTGAGGAATTCCTGGAGTTGACGTCATCAAATGGCCAAGTTTGGAGACCCCTACTATAAATCACCATGTGTGTACTTCAACTCCCAGTAAATCAAAGAACCAACTAGGTTGGGGTCTCCAACCTTGGCAACTTTAAGCCTGGCGGACTTCAACTCCCAGAATGGCTGGGGAATTCTGGGAGTTGAAGTCTGCCAGGCTTAAAGTTGCCAAGGTTGTTCTAGTCAACCTAGACATCCTCAAACTTCAAGTCCTGGGCTTTTCCCCTCGCAAGGGATGGGGTCCCTTTGGGTAGCATCAACTGGTCCTCACTGTGTGCCAGGAAGTTGTCATTTGCATCCCCAAATATGGCCACAGCTGCCGCCAGGTGATGCCATAACGGGCTACCCATCCCATGCGTGGAAAAGGAGACTCTCCTATGAAAAATAGGCCATCTTTGCATCCCCAGGGAGGCAATTCCTTCCCGGATGCAAACCCTGCGAAGGAGCTTTGGTTGAAACCTTGAGCCGGAAAAGCCACTAGGGGGCAGCAAACCATGGGGGTTGGGATGTCCTGAGGCTGCCCTCTAGTGGCCAGGCCTGGATGTGCAGCCCAGAATTTGGTACAGGGAGTCCTTGACTAACAGTTCATTTAGCGACCATTTGGAGGGGCAATGGCACTGAAAAAAAATGTGCCTTAGCACCGTTGTTCCTAGTTATGGCCTTTGCAGCATTTTGATTCCCTTCGGATCCAAATTCAGATGCTCTGGCAGGCAAGTGATTCATATTTAGGACCGTTGCTGCATGCCAAAATCACACGATCCACTTCTGACCAGTGGGGGGAGCTGGATTCACTTAACAACCAGGTTACTGGCCTTTCAATTGCAGTGACTCACTTAATGACGGTAGAAAGAAAAGTTGCAAAATGGAGGTGGGGGCCCCCAAACGCACCCTTAAGCCATGTCTCACTTAAGGACAGAAATTGTGGGCTCCATTGTAGTCGTAAGTCAAGGACTATCCGTACTAACGAATAGAAGATTTGTAGCTCAGGGTTGAACCATTGGGGATCCTTGGCACTCTCTGAGCTGGGTGGTTTTGTTACAGAAAAGTAAGAAATCGGACAGGGTGTTTTCTGGATCCAATGCTCATTTCCTCATCGGGGGTTTGGCACAGCTCTACCGCAGCCCCCAGTACTGATGACGTGACCTAGTTGGGTAACGAAACGTCTCCGAGGAAACTGCCATGCTCAAGAGAGCACCAAGGATCCCGCAGAATTGATCCTGCACCCCCAAGTGTGCGAAGGGAAACGGTCGGTGCCTGGTCAATCCCCTCCCCCGAGGGGGGGCACTGGGCCACTAAATGTGCACTCCCTTCCCTGTGGGGGTGGGGTGAAGCCCTTGGCTTGGTAGAAGGAGGAAGGCCCCCGTTGGGCAGAGGAGTGGGGGGACGGGTGGGCCTGGGTGGGGGAGGGAGGGAGGAGGGGGTTACCTTGCAAAAGTTGGGTGGCTTTTTGTGAGAGAGACAGAGAGACAGACAGAGATAGAGAGAAACAGAGATACAGAGAGAGAGAGAGAGAGAGACTGAGAGAGACAGTGTGAGAGAAACAGGGAGAGACACACAGAGTGAGAGAGACAGAGACAGATATTGAGAGACAGAGATATTGAGAGAGAGAGAAACAGAGAGACAGAGAGACAAAGACACAGAGAGGTATTAAGAGATATTGAGAGAGAGAGACAGAGAGAGACAGAAACAGAGACAGAGAGAGACAGAGAAAGACAAAGGGAGATATTGAGAGATAGAGAGAAAGACAGAGAGAGATATTGAGACAGGGAGAGAGAGATACAGAGATATTGAGAGACAGAGAGAAAGAAACAGAGAGATATTGAGGCAGAGAGAGAAAGAGAGAGAGAAAGAGACACACACAGAGAGAGAGACAGGGACAGAGAGAAGGAGGGAGCTATCGGGGAAGCCGGGGACGGAGCCCACGGGCCACGTGTGGCCGGGAACCGGGCGCAGCGCGAGTCGGTGGGGGGGGGGCGCCCAAACTGGACGAGGGGGGAAAGCTGGCCCCGCCGCCCACCCCTCAAAACATGCCGCCCTTCACCAAAGTGCCTTTGGCGCCGTTGGGTCTCTGCAAAGAGGAGAGGACGCTGGCGAAGGGCCCGCCTAAGGAATCCGGGATGGAAGCGATGGAGCCCGGACCCCCAGCCCAGCCCTGCCCGGGACCCGCTGCGGCCAAGCCGGGGGGCGCCGCGCCCTTGTTCCCTTCCGACCCGGGCCCAACGGCTCCGGCGCTGCCTTGAGCCCCGGCAGGGCTGGGCCCGCCGCCTCCGCAGCTGGGCGCCGGGTTGGGGTTGGGTCCCGGGCCGCCGGTACTGTCCGGGTCGGTGCTCTTGGCTTCTTTGCTCTCATCGTCCCGGGACGGGTCGGATTTCTTGCCGGACGAGCCGTTCTTGGCCGCCGCCGCTGCCGCCGCCGCCGCCCGTTCCTGCTTGCGAAATTTGGCCCGCCGGTTCTGGAACCAGACCTGAAACCAGAAAGAGAGAGAAAAAAGAGACCGCCGGCCCGGTTAAATCCAGCCGAACCCCGATTTCTTTCCAGCCCCATCTCTCGACCCGCTTGGAGTTTCTCCCTGCCCGTCGGGAAGGAGCCAAGACGCGTGTCTGGGGGCCCGTTCCGACAACGCCCTTACTTCCCAGTTCGGGTTTCTCCTCCCCGCCGGGAAGAAGCCAAGACGCGTGTCGGACGGCCTTGCTTCCCAGTTCGGGTTTCTCCCTGCCTGCCGGGAAGGAGCCAAGACGCGTGTCAGACGTGCCCCGTTCCGACAACGCCTTTTCTTCCCAGTTCGGGTTTCTCCCTGCCCGCCGGGAAGGTGGAAAGACGCGTGTCGGATCCCCCGTTCCGACAACGCCCTTTCTTCCCAGTTCGGGTTTCTCCCTGCCTGCCGGGAAGGAGCAAAGACGCGTGTCGGACGGCCCGTTCCGTTAACGCCCTTGCTTCCGAGTTCCGCGCGCGATGTGAGGCTGGAAAAGCGGGTTCTGCTCCGTGATCGGTTCTGGAGTGGGGTTGGGTGGGTTTAAAAGGGGGCTTCCTCTCAACTTTCCCAACGATTTATTCGGCTTTTGATCTCAGTTTCATCCTTAAACGAATTAAATTAATTTAAATATCAATTTGAAGCAGAATGGCAAGAATCCAAAGGCCCCGTTTCCCATCGATCTAAAACAGCTTCCCCCAGCCAGCTAAAGTGATCCTAGATCCAGTCACTTCTCTGAAATATAAGTATATAGGTTCTCCTGCTTGAGCAGGGGCTGGACTAGAAGACCTCCAAGGTCCTTAATCAGCTCATTCTATTCTATTCTATTCTATTCTATTCTATTCTATTCTATTCCATTCTATTCCTTATTTTATTCCTTATTCTGTTCTATTCCATTCCATTCCATTCCATTCCATTC